CAATATTTTTAATAAGTACAGTACAATATTTTTTCTTACACAATCATTTTTTTTGGTGTAAATATAAAATAACTATATTCAATTCAACACAAATAACGCTTTAAGTTACTCATTGCATATATATTATGATCCATCAAATACCAAATAACATTTTAAATTACCAAATCCTATTGTTTCCAAATATCATAACATATAGAATATTAAGAGGGCGTTTGCATAGCCAAATTTGTAGATGCCCATCTATGAGTACTTCAATCCAAATCCAAAAACATACAATCAAATTCTCTAAACAAAACACCAAAAAAATAAGAAAGGATAACTAAACAATCCCATGTAGTAACCACCTTCGTGATCCAAAAGCGTTGAACTCATAGATACAATCACTAATTAGGCAAAATAATTGCTTCTTGTTTTCCTGTATCATAGAAGGAATATTGATTATGTATTGTACAATAAAAACTAATTCAACATATAAAGAATAATCAAACATTTAATATGGGTCTAACAAGAAGCACATAAAATAAGGAATGATTATTATAAACTAATAACAATAAATCGATATAACTAATGCAATAATTGAACTAATTAAGTCTAACAAGAACATGACTTGTAAATATATAGACCACAATTTCCATTATTAGATGCATATAAACACTAAACAGAATAATTCAAATTCTCAAAATATACATAAACACTTAATTGTGTGTAACTTTCTTTTCATGATCCAGAACTAGATATCAAACACCTTACAATTGTTACTACGAATATCTAAAAATTTCAAGTAGAAACGGAAAACTATAAATCAATCATACAATAAGATATAAGTCATTTTTCCGTATTTTCCTATTTCAAAATTTAAATTCGAGACCAAGAAAGAACACTCAGTACCTCTGTGCCATATCTTCTAAACCAATCACTACGCCAAAAATGATTTTTTGTATCACCTAATTTAATAGCACTTTTAAAAAAAATGCTATTAAAATGGAAAAAACACATTTATAATAGCACTTTTTAATCGGGCGCTATTATATAATACAGACTATGTAATTTTGATAGCACTTTGTACCAGAACGCTATTATTAAACTTCTTTAAGATAGCATTTTGTATAAAACGCTATTATTTGACTACCTATATAATAGCATTTATTAAAAAGCGCTATGTTATATATAATAATGAATTAATTAATTAATTGATAAAAAAAAAAAAACAAAACACATCGTCAAAAGCACTGTGCAATCCAGTCACTAGCAAGTTCATGTTCAATTCTTTCTCCTCATAAAACTCTTCAACGCATTCGCCTTTCGATTTTCCCCTACAACCACGCGTGTAAGTTTCCCAAACCCACAGCGAACGTAACCGTTTCCCATCAATTTTCCCCTTTCGATTTTCCCGGCCACACCACCGCCGTCATCGCCGCTTCATCCACCGACGACAGCGGCATCCCGTCTCAAGATCTCGCAGTTCTCCTCGAAGTCGATGGGTGAATTTTCGCTTTTCTTCGTTATTAACAATCTCGTTTCAGTTTCACTCTGCTCAACTTGTTTGAACTGTTGTGGTTGTTAATTGTTTTATTTATTTATTTATTTGTTTTTTAGGGTTCTTGTGGATGCATACCGTGGGAATCGCATAGCCTTCAATAAAGGTATCAACAGTTCGACTGTGCTCACTGTCACTGCTCATCTATAATTCCATATTCTCCTTGTGTTATTCTGTTTTCATGGAGTGTAACGAACTGTTGTTTTTCGATTTTGATTTTGATGTTGTGCTTGCAGCATTTGAGAAACTTGGACTTGATTGTGCGAGCTGGAGCGAACCTGTCTATTCAGATCTTTTAAGGTGTTTTTTTGGTTATTTGTTCCCTTTTGACCTTGCCACAACACATTTATCTTGACAGTTGATATGCAATGCAAGATAATCTGATTGATCTTCTCAGGTATGCCAACCTGCTGCATAACCTTTTTGATAAAGCTCCAACTCATGTCATAGGCCTTAGATAAATCCAGCTTGATAGCAAAAAAGTCCTTGTTACCTTTAAGCTTATTCATGATATGGACCATTTCATTAGTCATGACAATATTCTCATGGATGCTTCTCTTGGGGATGAAACCAGTTTGATAAGGAGAAACCATGTCATCAATACCTATCTTGTGCCTATTGACCACAATCTTACTAATAATCTTGTAAATGGTATTGCTGATAAGATCTTTGACATACTGCATCTTTCCATTACTGAATTGATGACACAAATTTGTAAGGTTGGCCACTAAGCCATTCTCCTCACGCCACTGCTGATCAAGTAAAGTCTCATAATTGTGTTTGTTAGAAGAAGTGTTCTTGTTAGCTTATATGACTAATTTTATATTATGAATCTAACTGTAGTTGAGCATGTCGAAGTTAAACTGAATTCTTGGTGTTCACTTCAGCATTAATATCATGTTCAAATGTTGAATCTTGTTGTTTTGAATTCTTTCAATCCTTGTCCTCTATCATGATTCATGATTCATGAGATTATTGCATTATTGTGTATTGGAGTGAATGAACTGTTGGGTTTTCATTTTTAATAAACATGTTCATCTTGCAATTTGAAATCATGTCAGATCACACTTGTAGCAATGCAGTGCCTATTTTCTTCTCTTGATCAATATGCATAAATTATGAAAATCATATGAAAAATTGATAGTCATTCTTGGTGTTAATTGAATTCTTGGTGTTGATTGTATTTGCAGATCAGGTGATGTACACATTGCAGCTTCATAAATATATGTTAATCAATATATACAAGTGAAAGAGTGACATGAAAAATCATGGTAGGGTAAATAAATATTGCTATGTAGCTGACACTGTTAATTATGATACCAATTTGAATAGGAATGTCCAAAGGAGCCATTGCTGGCATAGTTGTTGGAGGAGCTTTTGGAATTTTACTTTTGGCACTCATTCTCTATGTTGTGTTCTATAGAAGAAAAAAAGTTGCTCAAGTAACCCTTCTACCAGTCCCAGGTGCATCTGAAGAACAATATAGCCAACTCCAACATGGTATATATCATATTTTGTTGTTAACTGTCTAGTGATATTTTCTAGTTCTAGATTGTAGATTAAGTTTTCATGTATATATATGAGGATTATTTGTTCCATGGATTTAGGTTGTGGAAGTAGCTTGGATAAGGCTTCCGAATCAACTACTATTGCTTCTCCGAGGTTGACTGGTATTACGGTTGATAAGTCAGTGGAGTTTTCATATGAGGAGTTAGCCAAAGCTACTGACGGATTTAGCGCGGCAAATATAATAGGTCGAGGTGGATTTGGATCTGTTTACTATGCCGAGCTTCGCAACGAGGTTTGTGTGTTTAAAATCTATTTTAAAATGGAAATTCAATTTATTAGCAGCAATTAACATACTTAGAAACTATATATATATATATATATATTGATTTTGATTTGGACTAGAAATAAGAGTTGCAGTAACAAGAACTTATTTGTTTATATGTAATTCTTTGTAAATGAATCAACCGAAATGCTGTTCATCTTCAAGTGTCTCTAGATCTCCTTTTGCTTTCCATATTTTATATAGGTGTGTTTTGGTCTGTCAGTAAACCAATTTCTACTTCTACTTCTTTATCTGTTTCTTTTTCTTGAGTAAGCTTTTACTTTGTAATGCGGAAACTATCCTTAACTTCTCTTGTATCTGATGTCACAAACTGCAAAGAAGTATATAATGCTTAAAATGTATTTAAGATAAAATAAAGAAATCATGATTCTCTGATGTATTTTGCTTAAAAAATGAAATGGTGATTGAGGTTGGAATATAAGTATATAAATACTAACCTCCAAGTTTAAATCATTTTTAGTAGCATGTGCTCGTAAATAACCAAACTCAGAAATTCTTTTAAGACTCCAGCTCTCTCCCTGCCAATGCAACAGAACAAACAGTTTCATTTGCATATTAAAAAAATCATAAGCACAGTCCAAACTTTTATATAAATGAACAAGGTTCGATCTAAATTGTGGCTGCAATTTAAAGGTTTTAGAGGTCTCGGCAACAACATTGCTATGCAATATCAAAGTTTGCATTGTAATGGCAACTGCAACCACAACTACAATTTAGATCCATGAATATATAAACGAGTTTGATAAAGGGAAAATTAGTTACATTGTTTGAGGATTTGTCCAAGGTGAAGCCAGCCATGCCAATGACAGCATGTACGGGTGCACTATAATTTTTGTTATCATAAGTGTCTACTCCCTTTTGATCTTTTATAGGCATGGCTTTGCACTTATTCTGATAGACAGAACAAGTTCTTTCATAGTTATGCACATGGCCAAAAAGTGCCAAGTCAACCTGTTTCATATTCATAATACACAGTTAGCTTCTTATACAAGGCACTGTAAGTAACAGAATTCTAAGGAGTTTGATGTTCTTGCCGTATTCTCAAATAGCAATGGCTCCACAGCTTTAATAAAATTTTGATCTTTAGACGAAAATCCTTGGTTGGAAGTGTACATTGGTCTATGTCTGCAAATAAAAATAGTATGTTCAATAAATGTTGTGATTTTATTTCGGTTTGAGTGGTATAAGTCAGCTGAATCATGACTCGGAAGTCTCGTTGGCTCAATGTTAAGTTTGGTTTTTAAAACATTAGTTGAGAAACCACAATCTAAAAATTTACATAAATCACTTACCCCATGAAGACTAACCAAGGAGTATGTTGTCTATTAACGGATGCCATATCCTTTTTCATCCATTCATACTGCAATATGAATTTTACATATATGAATCATTTAATTAAATTAGAAATATATGAAATAGGAAATAATTATTTATTTAATTAACCTGTTGAGAATTTATGGACCAGTCATGTTCAGTGGATATTACTGTAAAATGAACACTTGCTTGTTCAATTGAGTACCAAGGCTTATCCTTTGCAGAAGTGGGCATTGGAAAGTATGTTTCATAAGGTACTCCACATTCACCACCAGAGTCGGGTGTTTGATAAACCGAACCAGAACTTACATAATCCCTGTGAATATAAATAAGAACAAGTTTGAACAGAATAAGCCATTCAATTATTGTTAAAATGTTTGAACAGAATTATGATTATTAATGTGGATGCAAGCAATACCTCTCATGGTTCCCAATTGCTGTCATGTAAGAAACTCTTGAAGCTACTGGACTAATAAGGTTCATAAAGAAATCCCATCTGCTAGAAAACCGGTCGCATAGCTTATGTCTCCAATGTGAAAAACCGAGTTTAAATTGTTGGAATCCACTTCACTAGCTATAGCTTTTATAACTGATAAAGCTCCAGGCTACATGAAAAACAAGATCATGCTGGTCAACACATAGTGGTACAATGTATTGGTGAATAATTCAGATTGAAGATGTCTTTGGTGTCTGAAACTTGTTTATGTGGAAGAGTGACCCGACTCTTGCACATATGATTACATTCAATCATTTTCATTTTCGTAAGTTCACCACCTGTCCAATCCTAATGTGTTATCTCAATATGCATTTCAGTTGTAAATGCTGTTTCATATCAATTTACCTGAATGTAATGTTCCTCTGAAGCATCAAGAGGGGTCTTTCCCATATCGCCAAAGCTACTGACGGATTTAGCGCGGCAAATATAATAGGTCGAGGTGGATTTGGATCTATTTACTATGCCGAGCTTCGCAACGAGGTTTGTGTGTTTAAAATCTATTTTAAAATGGAAATTCAATTTATTAGCAGCAATTAACTTTTTCTTTTTTTTGTTGTTGTTGCAGAAAGCTGCAATAAAAAAGATGGATATGCAAGCATCAAAAGAATTCCTAGCCGAACTAAAGGTTCTGACACACGTTCATCACTTGAATTTGGTATGACCTTTTCCTAGCTCCAATATTATTCAAAGTTGAAGCATGATACTGATACAGATACAGACACGACACTGACTCGTATAAACTTAGTAACGGTTTAAGAAAATGAAAATGAATGTAACCATGGCGTGTGTGAGACACCTAAAATACTTTGAATCCAAAGTGTCTCTGCTACAAATGATCTTATGCTAGTCATGTAGAAACTAGAAGTTACTTGCATAACAAGATATTGAAATATATACAGTTACTTATTTCCAAAATCATGATTCCTTGCATACACATATTCTACGCAGGTGCGGCTAATTGGATATTGTGTTGAGGGCTCCTTATTTTTGGTTTATGAATACATTGAGAATGGAAATCTAAGTCAACATTTGCGCGGCACAGGTTGTCAATAATAACAATAACTTGAACTTTGAATAATTCTAATTGCATCATTTTATTGATGATTATAAGACTCTTAAGATATTTGATTTATAGGGAAGGATCCATTATCATGGGCAGCTAGAGTTCAAATTGCATTAGACTCAGCAAGAGGACTTGAATACATTCACGAGCATACAGTTCCTGTCTATATACATAGAGATGTTAAATCAGCAAACATTTTGATAGACAAAAACTTCCGCGGAAAGGTTCGCAAATGCTTTATCCAATTTTTATGTATTTATCTTAAAGTTGAGTTCGGGCGGTTTAACTTTTCTTTCACAGGTTGCGGATTTTGGTTTGACAAAATTGACTGAATATGGTAGCTCCTCGTTACAAACACGCCTTGTCGGGACGTTTGGATATATGCCTCCTGAGTAAGAAACTTAATCATAAATAGACCTTAAATTTACCTTTCCTTGATATGTATGTGAAAAAGATGATGAGGGTTGGATCATTAATTCAAATAAAAATGGAGGAAAGTATATTTGGTGAGGAGTTTTTAGAGCAACTACGTGTAGAGAGTATAAAGGAGATTCTTGATCACAATTGGTTAAGTGCATCTATTATCACTGTATTTTCCAGGTACCTCTATTATTACAAATATTCTCTTATTTGACAAATATATTATTAATATTAATGTTATTTGTATTGTTGACTAATATTCACATTGGTGACAAATATATTAATATCAATTGTTGTTCATTTCTAGGTATTTGTATGACAAGTTTATTTCTAGGTAATTGTGTCTAAATTAATGTTATTTTAAAACAATTATGTGGAGTAAAATTAATCGATATAAATTTTTTTTTTGTAGTGTCCTCGTCAAATTAATGGCGTTGATTGTGGATACTTCAACGCTTTTGGATCATGAAGGTGGTTACTACATGAGATTGTTTTGTTATCCTTTCTTATTTTTTTGGTGTTTTGTTTAGAGAATTTGATTGTATGTTTTTGGATTTAGATTGAAGTACTCATAGATGGGCATCTACAAATTTGACTATGCAAACGCCCTCTTAATATTCTATATGTTATGATATTTGGAAACAATAGGATTTGATAATTTAAAATGTTATTTGGTATTTGATGGATCATAATATATATGCAATGAGTAACTTAAAGCGTTATTTGTGTTGAATTGAATATAGTTATTTTATATTTACACCAAAAAAAATGATTGTGTAAGAAAAAATATTGTACTGTACTTATTAAAAATATTGTACCAAATATGTACCATTTATTAGCACTTTATTTGAAAGCGCTATCAAACATATGTTATATATTAGCGCTTTTTGTTTAGAGTGCTATAAAAAAACAAACAAAAAACATGCAAAATACTGACTTTGATAGCACTTTAATTAAAACGCTATTATAAATTGGTACTTTAATAGCGCTTTTAAAGTGCTATTAAATAAGAAATATTTACAATAGTGGCGCGGTTAATAGCACTTTTAAGCGCTATCAAAAACAAAAAAAAGCGCTATTAAATAGCTTATTTGGCGTAGTGAATAAAATACTAAAATCATTTATACGACAACTCTAAATCCAACTCAAAAATTAAAATTAAACATCTAAGTCAAAACATTTGAACTCTAAATCCATGAGTAATATTTGTCTTGTTTATCAAGTATCAAGTCAAGGAAAAACTCACCGAAAACATCATCCACCACATAAGTAGCCCAATCCTCCTTAACCTCAGTTAACTTATCATGAGAGTAGGTACGACATTTGTGGTCAAAAAAGTACTTCAAATATGAAAACATCAACAATTAATCGTGTTAGAATTAAATTATATTAATTTAATTTACAAAAGAATAATAATAATAATTAAAATCACGTCCATTTCACACACATACTTATATTATAGAAAAGATGCAACAATCAAGTATTACAGCAAGCAATAGTTATTGTTATATCATACTATATTACATACACATACTTTACGTGTGAAATAATTTATTTGCACATATTATAAATATAACTTCTGCAATTAAGAGTAGCAATATTTAACATTCACTAATTTTAGAAATAAACTAGTCATAAAAGAAGTAGCACTTACAATGACAGTAGTCACGGTTGCTTTCACTTCTCCCTTATATGCCATTGCCAACTCTGCAAACCTCTTTGCAATGGTATCTACGTTTTTAAGTCTGCCATTCTCAGCAAGGAGAACTTTACAACAAATAAATTAATCAGCAAACTGAAGTTGTAGGTTTAGATAAAGTGGAAAAGGAAAAGAATAGACACTACTATAACTTTAAGGACAGAATTGGATAGTTATTCCATACAATAAACACTAACCTTTATTTATGATAATAAAAACTCAATCCAAATTAAATAGAACATATAATAATAACAAAAAATACAGAAACTAATCTTAAGAGATACTCAAATATAATCTTAGGTAAGAAACTTAACTAACCCTTTGAGATAGTAGGTACTTAAAATTATGATATTTTCAATTCCGTAAAAATTCCCCTCAAAACTAAACCATATTGGCTCTTCACAAGTACACTCTGAAAGTGAAAAATAACCAAAACAATATAGTTTGATAGTGAAGCTTGTCAGGGCCAGATACATATGGAACAAGAGTCGAGACCAAATTGCAGCAGGAATGAAACTTATGCCAGGCTGCAATAGTGAAAAACAAAAGTGCACTCGAGACAAACTACAGCTGACACAAACTATGCAAAACCACAAGAGGTAAAAACAGTGCCATTACAAACAGCAACTAAGCTCGTTAAAGGTTGTTTCTGCTTCTCTTGTGAGTAGTTTTTATGAGAGATAAAAACAGCAACCACAAGAGGTAAAAACAGTGGCATTCTCATTAAAGGTTGTTTCTGCTTCTCTTGTGACCAGTGTCACATGTTTGATCTTTGTCTTTGCTGTCTTATTCTTCATTATTAAGTTTACTTTATCACTAGGTAAGCTTGTAGCTCAATATATACAAACAGCTCAAGTCTTTCGGATTTTGGAGGCGGTGTTAATGTTGGAGGTTTAATCTTTTCACTAGGTCTGCATATTTTGCCATATATAAGCAAAACAGGGGCTTCAGCTTTTGCTATTCTTTTGTCTCATAAGGCTCTCGCATGTGAGGGTACATGTATTGACATGAAACCATTATCGACCCTTCACCAACAAACTTTAGCTTTTGCCTTTTAGGAACTATTTGTATAAATAACTTAATTAAGTGCTTATAGCATAGGCTCTTCTCACATAAGTGCTTGTGTATACGCTACTTCTATAACAAAAGATAAAATAAAGTCATAATGTTTTCAAAAGATAAAATAAAGCCATAATATTTTCATATAAACTAATAAATATAAGTTGTTTTCAAGAACTATCACGGAGAACTTATGGAAATAAGCTAAAACTAGCTTATGGACATGTCATTAGTTGTTTCCAAGCTTTCCCACAGCAGTTTCACAAATGCTTATCCCTATATATAAATTCAAATAAGTCAATCTAAATAGACCCTTAGTCTTTGAAGAGCTTCAAATCTCATTCATTGAAGTTTGTCTGAATCACAGGTTTGCACAATATAACTTGCTTACATTTGGTTGACAGGTTCACAGGCCTTGGTCAGCTTGACACTTGAGAGAGAGCTTCCTTCTGAACCATTTTCACTAGTAGCCGAGGAGGTAAAATGGCAACTCTTGCAGATTTCTTGGACATGCAGAATCAGCTTTCTTTTCTCAAAATCCTATTTTTAAACTCTTATCAGGATTCAGGGGATCTTTGTAAGGAAAGTGGCCAGGATACGCTGAGGCGCATTACAGATCTTGTCAACGATACTATCGCTAATGAAGGATCACATAGCTTTTCTACTTTAACAATGGACGATGTGCTTACAGCCATTGAAATATCAAACTAACACAAAAGCATCAAATCTGAACCTTTTATTCTTGAGAACCTCACGGATCATTAAATGAAGCAACTCCAACCTTTGATAGTGGTAAGAGAAGCTCATTAAATGAGAAACTACAGCTGACACAAAACTATGCAAAAGTATTTAGAAAAATATTTTAACTTACTTTAGCAACATAATTGAAACAATAACTTAATTAAACAATACACTAATAAGTAAAACCTAGCTTACCAAGGAAGTTCTTTGTGACATCAGAGAACTTAGCTTGGGTGGCAATATCTTGGATGACTTTTACTCTAACATCCTTAGCCACAGATATATCCTTTATAAATTGTGAGGTTATGGGACTACCCTTTACTCCCTCAACAAACTGAAGAAGCTCAGAGTCAACCTTGTCGACCGAATTAACTTTCACTGCTGCAATATACAAAGCAGAGGCATAGTTTCCTGAACCTCCAAACATTGCGATGGGGACCTAAAACAACAATTAACCGTACCTAATCTTTTGATTTGTTATATTTTCTTTTCTTCTTCTACTAATCACAGAAAGGAATGAACAATTCAAGACCATTAAATCTGATTACCTTAATTTTGGTTTCCTTTTGCCCCGGCACATGAGCAAAATTTCTGAAGGCCTGCACATGCATGAGAACATTGATTTACTGAATTGAATCAAAAACTCCAACGATCGAACATTGATTTACTGAATCGAATAAAAAACTCCAACGATCGAACATTGATATACTGAATCGAATCAAAAACTCCAACGATCGAACATTGATATACTGAATCGAATCAAAAACAAGGGAAATTGAGAACGATTGATTCACCTGGGAAATGGAAGGCGCGATAAGAGAGCGTTGAAGAGTAGATCTCTGAGAAGAAAGAAGAGATATCCCGGATTTGACGCGACCGTAAAACGCCATCACCGCAATTCGAAACCCTAATTTCGTTTTCTCAAGTTTTCTGTTTGAGGGAGTAAGAAAATGCTATCTTAAAGAAGTTTAATAATAGCGTTCTGGTACAAAGTGCTATCATAATTACATAGTCTGTATTATATAATAGCGCCCGATTAAAAAGTGCTATTATAAATGTGTTTTTTCCATTTTAATAGCATTTTTTTTAAAAGTGCTATTAAATTAGGTGATACAAAAAATCATTTTTGGCGTAGTGTTTAGTTATTACGAATGTATATAAAATATATGTCATTAACGAAAAGTCTTTTAACTTAGTTTCTTAGTGATAAAGTAACCTAAAATTTGGTGATGGACAAGAAGAATAATATCAAAATTGTTTACATCTATTATACCATAATACAATGTGAATATGGTGAATAAATTTACTATCTAACCTCATTATATAGTTTTAATTATTATGAATGTATATGAAATATAAGTCATAAATTAATAGTCTTTTAACTTAGTTTCTTAGTGATGAAGTAACCTAAAATTTGGTGATGGAGAAGAAGAATAATATTGAAATTGTTTAAATGTATTATACCATAATACAATGTGAATATGGAGAATAAATTTACTATCTAACCTCATTATATAGTTTTAACTATTATGAGCGTATATGAAATATATGTCATTGATTAATAGTCTTTTAACTAGTTTCTTAGTGATGCTAAAATTTGGTGATAGATAACAAGAATAATATTGAAATTGTTTACATCTATTATACCATAATAATATGTGAATATGGTGAATAAATATACTATCTATCCTTATTATATAGTTTTAATTATTACGAACGTATATGAAATATATGTCATTAATTAATATTCTTTTAACTTAGTTTCTTAGTGATGAAGTAACCTAAAATTTGGTGATGGATAAGAAGAAGAATATTGAAATTGTTTACATCTATTATACCATAATATAATGTGAATATGGTGAATAAATTTACTATCTAACCGAATTATATAGTTTTAATTATTACGAACGTATACGAAATATATGTCATAAGTTAATAGTTTTTTAACATAGTTTCTTAGTGATGAAGTAACCTAAACTTTGGTTATGGATAAGAAGAAGAATATTGAAATTGTTTACATGTATTATACCATAATACAATGTGAATATGGTGAATAAATTTACTATCTAACCTCATTATGTAGTTTTAGTTATTACGAATGTATATAAAATATATGTCATTAACGAACAGTCTTTTAACTTAGTTTCTTAGTGATGAAGTAACCTAAAATTTGGTGATGGACAAGAAGAATAATATCAAAATTGTTTACATCTATTATACCATAATACAATGTGAATATGGTGAATAAACTTACTATCTAACCTCATTATATAGTTTTAATTATTATGAATGTATTTGAAATATAAGTCATAAATTAATAGTCTTTTAACTTAGTTTCTTAGTGATGAAGTAACCTAAAATTTGGTGATGGAGAAGAAGAATAATATTGAAATTGTTTAAATGTATTATACCATAATACAATGTGAATATGGAGAATAAATTTACTATCTAACCTCATTATATAGTTTTAACTATTATGAGCGTATATGAAATATATGTCATTGATTAATAGTCTTTTAACTAGTTTCTTAGTGATGCTAAAATTTGGTGATAGATAACAAGAATAATATTGAAATTGTTTACATCTATTATACCATAATAATATGTGAATATGGTGAATAAATATACTATCTATCCTCATTATATAGTTTTAATTATTACGAAGGTATATGAAATATATGTCATTAATTAATATTCTTTTAACTTAGTTTCTTAGTGATGAAGTAACCTAAAATTTTGTGATGGATAAGAAGAATAATATTGAAATTGTTTACATCTATTATACCATAATATAATGTGAATATGGTGAATAAATTTACTATCTAACCTCATTATATAGTTTTAATTATTACGAACGTATATGAAATATATGTCATTTACTATAGTTTTTTAACTTAGTTTTTTAGTGATGAAGTAACCTAAAATTTTGTAATAGATAAGAATAATAATATTGAAATTGTTTACGTCTATTATACCGTAATACAATGTGAATATGGTAAATAAATATACTATATAGCCTCATTATATAGTTTTAATTATTACAAACGTATATGAAATATATATCATTAATTTATAGTCTTTTAACTTAATTTCTTAGTGATGAAGTAACCTAAAATTTGGTGATGGATAAGAAGAAGAATATTGAAATTGTTTACATGTATTATACCATAATACAATGTGAATATGGTGAATAAATTTACTATTTAACCTCAATATATAATTTCAATTATTATGAACGTATACGAAATATATGTCATAAGTTAATAGTTTTTTAACTTAGTTTCTTAGTGATGAAGTAACCTAAACTTTGGTTATGGATAAGAAGAAGAATATTGAAATTGTTTACATGTATTATACCATAATACAATGTGAATATGGTGAATAAATTTACTATCTAATCTCATTATGTAGTTTTAGTTATTATGAATGTATATAAAATATATGTCATTAACTAATAGTCTTTTAACTTAGTTTCTTAGTGATGAAGTAACCTAAAATTTGGTGATGGATAAGAAGAATAATATCGAAATTGTTTACATCTATTATACCATAATACAATGTGAATATGGTGAATAAACTTACTATCTAACCTCATTATATAGTTTTAACTATTACGAGCATATATGAAATATATGTCATTGATTAATAGTCTTTTAACTTAGTTTATTAGTGATGAAGTAACCTAAAATTTGGTGATAGATAAGAAGAATAATATTGGAATTGTTTAGACGTATTATACCATAATACAATGTGAATATGGTGAATAGATTTACTATCTAACCTCATTATATAGTTTTAACTATTACGAGCGTATATGAAATATATGTCATTGATTAATAGTCTTTTAACTTAGTTTCTTAGTGATGCTAAAATTTGGTGATGGATAACAAGAATAATATTGAAATTGTTTAGATGTATTATACCATAATACAATTTGAATATGGTGAATAGTTATACTATCTAGCCTCATTATATAGTTTTAATTATTACGATCGTATATGAAATATATGTCATTAATTAATAGTCTTTTAACTTAGTTTCTTAGTGATGAAGTAACCTAAAATTTGGTGATGGATAAGAAGAATAATATTGAAATTGTTTACATCTATTATACCATAATATAATGTGAATATGGTGAATAAATTTACTATCTAACCTCATTATATAGTTTTAATTATTACGAACGTATATGAAATGTATGTCATTTACTATAGTCTTTTAACTTAGTTTTTTAGTGATGAAGTAACCTAAAATTTGGTAATGGATAAGAATAATAATATTGAAATTATTTACGTCTATTATACCGTAATACAATGTGAATATGGTGAATAAATATACTATCTAGCCTCATTATATAGTTTTAATTATTACAAACGTATATGAAATATATATCATTAATTATTAGTTTTTTAACTTAGTTTCTTAGTGATGAAGTAACCTAAAATTTGGTGATGGATAAGAAGAATAATATTGAAATTGTTTACATGTATTATACCATAATACAATGTGAATATGGTGAATAAATTTACTATTTAACCTCAATATATAATTTCAATTATTATGATTGTATACGAAATATATGTCATAAGTTAATAGTTTTTTAACTTATTTTCTTAGTGATGAAGTAACCTAAACTTTGGTTATGGATAAGAAGAATAATATTGAAATTGTTTACATGTATTATACCATAATACAATGTGAATATGGTGAATAAATTTACTATCTAACCTCATTATGTAGTTTTAGTTATTACGAATGTATATAAAATATATGTCATTAACGAACAGTCTTTTAACTTAGTTTCTTAGTGATGAAGTAACCTAAAATTTGGTGATGGACAAGATGAATAATATCAAAATTGTTTACATCTATTATACCATAATACAATGTGAATATGGTGAATAAATTTACTATCTAACCTCATTAATATAGTTTTAATTATTATGAATGTATATGAAATATAAGTCATAAATTAATAGTCTTTTAACTTAGTTTCTTAGTGATGAAGTAACCTAAAATTTGGTGATGGAGAAGAAGAATAATATTGAAATTGTTTAAATGTATTATACCATAATACAATGTGAATATGGAGAATAAATTTACTATCCAACCTCATTATATAGTTTTAACTATTATGAGCGTATATTAAATATATGTCATTGATTAAAAGTCTTTTAACTAGTTTCTTAGTGATGCTATAATTTGGTGATAGATAACAAGAATAATATTGAAATTGTTTACATCTATTATACCATAATAATATGTGAATATGGTGAATAAATATACTATCTATCCTCATTATATAGTTTTAATTATTACGAACGTATATGAAATATATGTCATTAATTAATATTCTTTTAACTTAGTTTCTTAGTGATGAAGTAACCTAAAATTTGGTGATGAATAAGAAGAATATTATTGAAATTGTTTACATCTATTATACCATAATATAATGTGAATATCGTGAATAAATTTACTATCTAACCTCATTATATAGTTTTAATTATTACGAACGTATATGAAATATATGTCATTTACTATAGTCTTTTAACTTAGTTTCTTAGTGATGAAGTAACCTAAAATTTTGTAATAGATAAGAATAATAATATTGAAATTGTGTACGTCTATTATACCGTAATACAATGTGAATATGGTAAATAAATATACTATCTAGCCTAATTATATAGTTTTAATTATTACAAACGTATATGAAATATATATCATTAATTTATAGTCTTTTAACTTAATTTCTTAGTGATGAAGTAACCTAAAATTTGGTGATGGATAAGAAGAAGAATATTGAAATTATTTACATGTATTATACCATAATACAATGTGAATATGGTGAATAAATTTACTATTTAACCTCAATATATAATTTCAATTATTA